CGTGACTACTACATTTCTGTGTTGAGAGGCGTACAAAGTGTCCTTTTAATTGATTAATCAGTTTGGCCATTGCAGATGGGATCTTTAGCTCCATGACATATTGAATAACATAATTCCTGTGTATCAAATGGAACAAAAATACAAAAATAAAAACCCTACTTCAGTCAGAAAGCCAAATAAAATAGTGAACTGTAAAATAACAAATTGAATATTTGGCTTGTAAAGACAGAAAAAAGAAAGCAACACAATAGTTTTGTAGCATAATATGTAGATTCTTATCAACTTTAGCAGTTGTCCTTGTAAGCATGAAATATAAATATATAAGTGATCAGCCTTATGTTTGCATCTGAAGTGGATCAAACAAATTGCAAGTGGGAAAAACTTTTGACTCCTCAAGAAACAAAATAAACGTCACTCTAGCTAGTTCGGATTACCACATCATATTAGTGAGTTTACGGCTAGCAAAGACAAGAAATTAAGAAAGTTCAAAGACGCTTGTAAATGATTACCCATAAGGATCTTGGGAAAGGAGAAGCCCATTCCTGGCAATTTCATTGATCAGCTTATCTCGATGTCTCCCTCTGGCATGTGCAATGCATTTTTGTAGTACACAACAGCCATGGCGTTGAGTTGCAATCTCAACACAAAATCTTGCAGCAGCATCAAAAATAAACTGCAAGAGATAGATTAACAGAAAAGTCAACAGAAGAAGTTCAGCGTCTTTTCAACAAAATTTAAGTAGGTCCTACAGAAAGCACATAACCATCCCTCTCAAGAACTTTGTTTTGGATTTCAGTCATTTTGTCCAATCATCCTTGTTTATATTTCATGTCACTGTAGAATACTTTAAACATATAAAATAGTAAGTCCAGTTCATTCCATCAACCTTCTGCTGGAGGCCTGACAAATAGAATCTTAGACCAGACTTAAAATCACCTCCTTTCCACTTTCCCATTCTAAACTCAAACAAATACAACAAAGATAGTCTATTGAAACTGATGAAGCATTCTTTGTAAGTGCCTCATAGCTCTGCAATGTTTAACAATTGTAGGTGTTAGTCGAGCTCTGTTCTTTCTGTTCTATGCCCAATAAAAGGTTCTATCCTTTTTTTCTCAATGAAATGTCTAAGATGCTAAGTTTGCGCCAATCATGTTGGAAACAACATCTCAATTTTGCTATTCATACAGACTATGTGACATGTTGATTTATATATTATTAGCATTGTGACTGAAAACGTCAGTCTTTGATTTTGGCAACGCAATTACGTATTGGTCTGTGGTTTTTTCAATCCAGACCTCATCATCTTCACTCCTATGTAGAGTAGTATATCATAATTGCTCACTTGCATATATCTGACCCAGCCCCCTGACTTTCTAGAGTACAAACTCACCCTAAGGGTTTAAGGAAAACAAGGAGTATTCTAGTTTAGGGTGTGTTAATAGATTAACTATTAGCCTTTCCTAAACCAAGTCTATAAATCGACATTCAGAGCCCAAAGAAAAAATTTCTATCAATATTAGCGACAAAAATCTTCAAGATCAGATGACAATTTGTCAAAACAGTAAGATACCTTTCCATCTGATGTCTAGATCAACAGTCAAGGGCATTTGACTTTACCAACAGAAGTGACCAAGAAACTTACAGAGGACTAGATGAATCAGAAGGAAAAGAAATTAGATATAAATTAATAGGTTGAGGCATGATAACTGGACTTGAAACCTTCACTTATACAATCATCGGATTAGTTGGGACTATTTTAGGCATCAGCATAAACAACAGAAAGGTTACTTTCGAAAGTTTTGGGGTAGAGAACTTGAAGCATTAGTTGGTGAGACTGGTTAATTAATGTAAGATTAGACTCCTCCCACAGAACGATCAAGGATGGGTCTAGTTCAAGGTAGATACAAAAGAAAACTAGAGTGGCTGGCCCCAAATGACAGGGGATTGGAACTAAAGACCACCTAGTACTTGATTTATCATTTGGTTGCCCTATTATAAGCACACTGCACACATCAGATGAAACAGTTCACACCTTCAATAAACATGCATGCCAAGTTTTATAGAAATATTGCACCAAACCAGTGCATTGCCTATAGCAAATAAATGACTTGACAAGAATATTGCATTTTCACAATAGTTGTGATTAAAAGAATTTTGCTTGACCAGCATCAACCAATATGTATGTGTGTGTCTATTCTAGGTTATCACATGAAACGTGTAAGACAGAACACAATAACAGAAAAGGAAGAAGAAACATGAATTAGAAGATATTCAATCTTAAGAGGCTTATTTAAACAATGAAGCTAACAAGAAAATTAAAGAAATAAAAACAGCATACCCTATTATCTTCATTGCTAAAGCAGTCCAAGCAACGTTGTACCACATGATTACCATTTGGATCCTTGATAAGATCAAGAAAACCACATTCAAGGGATGATTTAACTAATGAGATCTGTTTCCCAGTTCTAACAGTCTCAATCAACTTCTGTACCACGCGAGTGCTGAAACCATAGCACCAATATGTTTAGAAGCAAGAAATTAGTAAAGAACAAATACTACAAATGAAGTTACCACAAATATGTACAGAAGGAAGGACATACCCATGTGTGTCTAAGGAAATTCTGACAAGCTGTCCTGGTTCTTTGGTCACCTTGAGTACAAATTGCATTCTTTGTTGTTCATTGCACACGTCCAACAACTTCTGCATAAGGTAATTGCCAAACGGGTTCGTCATCAGTTCAAAAACATGATTGATTATTTTATCAAATATTAATTGCACATCTTGACAGGTCCCATCATCAAGCATCCTCTGTAAGAATCGACAACCATACTGATCCTTTGCTATGACGTATATATATCCCTGGACCTCAGCCAATGAACCTAAAGTTAGTAGTGAGCGCATTGAGCTATTATTACTCTGACTCCATTCACTCCCACTAATTCCTCCATTACATAAAGTGGAATCCAGTCTAGAACTTTTCTCTCCTTCTGTCTGCATTGCCTTATTGCAAGAGTTCTTCTTGTAACCCTTTGAAGATTTGATACCCTTGCTGATGGTATGATTCAAATGTTTTCCTTGTATAATGAAACTATCCTCACAGCAAAAACACTCAAGTTCCCTTGCACATTTCAGAGACTTGAAAGATTCAGGAACCCCACTATTTGGGTTTACTTTAGTCCTTTGTTTTATCATTGAATGATTATGTGAAAGATTGTCCACATTCAACTGAGCAACTGAGGACAACTGAGGGGAACCCATTGGATACATAAGGCCCTTTCCACCATTACAATCCGTTCCATGTAGCTGTAAGCAAAAAAATTCTTCATCAAGGTAAGGCCTAGCAAGAGATGGTTTCCTCTGATACCAACCATCTCCCTGTTCCTCTTTTCTTTGCCCTGATATACACCTCATTTGATTTTTTACACCACTAGGGCCAGAATACAAAGCATTGGGCTGCATATGATTAAGAAAAGACCCCATTGAATTACCAACAGTACATCTTTTCTGCAATCCAAGCAATGCTGACTCATTAATAGTACCATCAAACCTGCCTCTAACTCCAAACCCAGAGGATTTAAGAGCTTCAAAATCAGATATATTATTCTTAGAACTTTCAAGTAGGCCATAGTTTTCAACATTCCAAGAACTAGTACCAGCTGAAAAGCCACCACCAAGCCCAAACCCATCTGGGCCTCTCTCAAATCCCATCCTTTTAGCACCACCATCCTGTTCATCCCCAATATGCATACTGTAGAAACTTTCAGCCAAACCCAGATCATCCCCCATCTTCTCATTGAAATGAGAATCAGGAGGCTTAGAGTCCAACCACAATCCATTCATGTAAGGTGTTTGATATTTGGCCTCCTCAAATGGGGTGGAATATGGAGAGCCATCCTCAGAGGAATAAAACCCATTTGAGAAAGAGCTTGAAGGAGAGAACTCTGATTGCAGAGAGGCTCTGCTAACACGTGAACCACTCACAAGGTGATGATGATGAGGAGGATGAAGAAGATGAATGAGATTGGAATATGGTTGATTCATGGGGTTCTCATTCCAAAACTTCTCAAGCTCTCCT